TTTTTTAAAAATCCCTTTTCAAGAACTACAACGAACGGCTCGTTTGGACTACAGCGTTTGTTTTCCGGGCTTTGTGATATCACAAAGCCCGGAAAACAAACGCTGTAGTCCAAACGAGCCGTTCGTTGTAGTTCTTGAAAAGGGATTTTTAAAAAAGGAAATATCTCCCTTTGGAGTGGACTTTGAGATTTGTAACTTTCTAGATATTTTTTATGCCCAAACATACACACTACACACTGACTAAAATTAAAAAAGTGAAAAAGTATAATAGGACCCCTTTAAAGAAGTCTTGATGGATCTGTTAGTTCCAAACATGCCGCATTTAACTTCAAATACATTAATTGATGGACTGGAGTGGTGTGAATTACATGTGGATTATTGTGATGTTTTTATCAGTTGTTTGGACACTCACTCTGATGGCACCCATTCACTGCAGAAGATCCATTGGTGAGCAAGTGATGTAATGCTACATATCTATTCTGATGAAAAAACAAATTCATCTAAATCTTGAATGGCCTTTTCATTTTTGGTGAACTACGATATGAACTAAAGGAAAAAAATGTTTGATAAATATTTTATAGATGACATTCATTCTTTTTTTTTTTCATTGCTAAACAATATCGACTATAATATAATTTGTTATGAAAGGATATTTTAGCCTTACACATGGGGCTGACAAAGACATAAAGGACATAAAGGGAAACACTGTTTTAAAGAACATATGCTCTAAAATAAGACATGAGAAAGAAGAATTAAAACGGTGAGAGAGACCTGTGAAAGTGTGAAGAGATGAAGGCATTTAATTAACCTATAAACACTTCTTGACTGAGAGAATGAGCTAATTTATCACTGTAAGTTAACTAATGATGTACGATCAATACACAATAGGTGAACCTAAAGAGCTCTGCCCACATAATAAAATCTGATCATGTTTAAAGTTGACATGACATGAAAATTCAAGTTTCATTTTTTTTGGAGCTGTAACTCTTAATCAGAATGCTGAAAAACTGTGAAACGACAGGTTATGTGTGCTGGACTTCTTCAATCATTTAGCCCACTTAAACCCTTTCTTACAATCATCTGCAAGCTTGCATTCAGAACTAGTTAATAGTGAGAACTAGTCCCTATACTTAAGTGTTACAGAGATTTCTGGTGCCATATTCAACTCTTTTCAAAGTATTTCTTCACTTTACCCAAACTCAATGTTAACATGATAAACTGAAAAGTCTGCCATAATGATAAAAGAGTTTGCATATTTACGGCAAATTAGTGCTTATTCCAGCATCTTGGGCTGTAGACAAGGAAACGCTCTGGATGGATGGCTAGTGAATCACAGAATGTTTTTATATTATATAAATCAAAATAGCCTGCAAAAACTGTGCAAAAACAAAGATAATTTGTTGCACATTCATCATATATACACACCGGCTACAACATTGACACTAGATCCATTCAATTTCCTTCTTCTTTTCATCTTCACACCCTCACTCTCAAGTATCTGGTTCTTGATCTCCCAGAAGAGCATGGCAAGGTCATTGTAACATCAAAAAACACATTAGTAAGAGAACAGAAGGAGGGGCGTGTTTGACAGTAGACACAAAAACATATCAGAGGAATGACACAGATGCACAAAGAGGTGTGAGACTAAAAATAGCACTAAAGAGAAGTGGAGACCATATCTGGTTTAACATCTACAAGATTTATGGAGGGAAAGAGTCGCATTGTCATCCAAGGACATTTTTGTCAGTCTTATTTCAACACCCTGTCAAGGCAAGTGTTGGGAATTTAGACAGACCGATAGGGAATGTGTCACCCCTGTGATCCGAAGCCTATTATGCTGCATTTCTGGTAAATTGTGTTTACACACACCCAGCGAGAGACTGTAAGCCAGCCTCACTGATTCATACAGCGTCTGAGGCTGGCAGCCTAAACAACATACTTGCAAACAGAAGGTTTCTCCCAGTAATGTGAGATTCATCCATGAATGCCAATGAAATACTCCAACATTTTAGACTTGAATGATGCAGTATAGGCAATACTGGTGACTTTAAGTTAACTAGGTAGCAAATTAGGTTAAAAACCCTGTATAATAATTGTATTTAGGGGCTTCGAGAAGAAAAAAAAAACACTGTGGCAAATGTAAATGGACCATCACAGTATAAACAATGACAGATGGAGGGTTACAGTGAAAAACGCTCTGACCTTGAAGGCGAATATAATTGGTCTCATTTGCCCATGTTTTCTAACTAGCCGGAGTAGCCGCCAGTTAATTTTACCCTTTAATCTAACAAGTGGTGCTTTTTACTATTTGTACATTGAGAATAGCTCTGACCATGAAGCTGGGTATAATTAATGGGTTTGATCTGGTTTATGTTTATGACTAATCCTCCAGTTCATTTCCACCCTCAAAAAGGGGTTTATCGTATTAACATGGATTCTAAAATGTGGTGATATGTCAATTTTAAAAGCTTCCTGCATAGCAATAATAGTACGACCCACATTAGTGTAGCTGCAAATGAATGTGTGTGTTTGTGTGTGTTGTTTTCGAACCGCAGCGCAGCATCAAAGTCATTGTGAAATTTGCATTTCACAAACAAACATTGTATTATTTTTCTATTCAAGCCTTTCAATGTCTAAGCAACAAAGGAGCACCCTCCCGCCCGAGCTCATCCTTCCAGCCAAGACTCCTTTATTATTAATGCAACTGATTTTCAAAGTTGTGTGATACGTGTACCGAAGGCAAGCTTCCACAACGTTCTAGACATCCAATCCTCCGAGGAGCACATTTAATCAGTGGCAGCTCACAGCTGTTTACTGTCAGAAAGCATTCGATCAGGAATAAAACTCTGGGACACATTGTGAATGTAAATTAATATTCATTTTGATAATATTCCTTATCATAAATTCATTAATTAAAAAACATCTCAGTCAATTAAATGTGCAGATTCAGGTACATGGGACAGAGAAACTGTTGCATAATATGGTATCAAATGCCAAACTATTGTGTGTGAGATATCATGATACTGGTCTCTTTAGATTCATTGGGTCATATAGAGTTGAATGATAAACAAGTCTTGGCGGCCATATTTTTGTAATTCCCATGGGCAGCTATTTTCAGATTTGTAAGGGGAAAGAATGAAATAATTTTACTACAAAACAATAATTTGACTAAATTATGTTTCCTTAACATGTTAAATCAGTAATATCTGACAACAATGGCATCATTAATTGTGTTTCTTAAGCACAAATCATGCAACAAAATAATATTTTTCAGGATGGCTCAGCTAAGGTGCAGTCACATTTACTATTGTTTTGCAATTTTTCATGGACAAATTCAAATTATTTCAATTCAAATGATCAGGATTTTCACATCCACATTGCACCACACATTTTGTGAAAGAGTTCCCCACAAAGATTTTGCTACGTGTTCAAGTTTGTCCTGCAAATTTGCCGCATTGATCAACAGAAAGCTGTTTGGTTTGAAAGTGACTTGTGTGTGTGAGCTGTGCTTTATACATTGCTATACTATTGATAATAGACAAGGGACCTTTTTGGCCTGCAAAATTTTGCATAATATTTAACAGAAATTTTGCTAATGTGACTGCATCTTAATGAAGGACTAGACGACATATTGGGAGTTATGATTTTGGCCATATGAGCAGTTTGACCATCTCTGGCCTGTCTCTGATAATAAGCCAATAAGTCAGCCCCATTGCCCCATCTGCTTTTGAATTTTGTGGGGGGAAAAAAACACATAAACAATGCTATAGCTGCACCTGAAATTGCATACTGTCTATTCGCAACCATAAAAAAAGTATGTTCTATAGTATGAATATGGGTAGCATGCATGAAATGCAGACATACCACATCCACCATTTTATTACTATTACGTGACCTGCAGGCTCAGTAGCATTTCTTCAGTGTCATTCACAACTCGTCTCTTGTGGCCTCGTGGGATAGTAAAGTGTCAACTGAATGCACACAGAATCGTGACGGAACTATTGGTCATTCTGGAATTTTTTCCCTACTATTTTTTTTTTCAAATATTATGAATTTGGACACACTACTCTTTCAGCGTACTGTTTTTTGCATATTATACGGATAGAATATTCAGACAAACACAGCATATGAAAACTTCAAAATGCAAAAGCCTCTAACTGCTGTCTGAAATTTTCTTCTAAACTGAGCATTTTTATCAGGCTCCATGTGTTTAGGTTCAGTAATTTCACTTTATTGGCAATGAAGGTCCTTTTCGTTGCCATTAAAGTGAAATAACTGAACATAAACATGGAGCCTGATAAAAATGCTAATTTAAGAAAACTTAGAGATTTTCACATTTGAAGTCTTCATATGCATATAACAAAACTTGGAAAGTTCAGTGACAGCACCAGCTAAAAAAAAAAAATTTGATAAATATGTTTGAAAGTTTATGATTAATTTTGCCCTATTTTGATTTATTTGATTATAAGGAATTATAACATCCATTTTCTTGACAAATGGCATTGCCTTGTCCACCATTTTGAATTCAATTGAAAACTTTTTTGAACTCATACAGTTGACATTTTCAACAACTTGGGTCTGATAATGTTTAGACCATGCTGGTCAAAATATAGCCTTTCAAAAGCTTTTTTGATAGACTCATGGAACACATGAAACCCAATATATCCCATATAGTGCTAAATTTAACTCAAACATTCCTGCCTCTAAACATACAGTACAATAACTCTGACTTTAGTAGTAGGCAACTATTCTAGAAACGAGTATTTACACAAAACTGCTCAATACCATATAAACTTGGTGAGTAAACTGTAAGCGTATGTGTTACACGTAATTTTACCTTAATTTTACACGTAATTTTAAGCCTTTCTAAAATCACGACTGTCTACTGACGTATAAAGTTTATGTCATTGACGTGTTTGACCACATAAAAGCAGCTTACAGCTATATTTAAATGGGACCCATTATAAAACTCGTATTGTCAGCGTGTGTTCAGGCCTTACCTGTCCGAACACTGAGCTGAGGAACGGCCGCAGGTTGAAGTCCGCTTCAGAAGATGCTGCGCTGGACCTCCTCGACCTGCGGGAGGAGCGGCTGGAGGAAGCGGGCACCGGCGAGGATGAGGCGGTGGAGGCTGGGCACGCCTCTCTGCTCGATGAAGACCCCGGTCGAGCCAGTTGGGGTGACTCAAAAAACAGAGCAGTTTCGTCCCTGGACTCGGAGAAAGACTGAGTTCTGGTGGGCATGCGAGCGACGTGAGAGTGCTTGGGTCGGGGCTCCTGAGGCAGGTCGTCCCGGGTGGACCGGTGGCGGTGATGGTGATGGTGGCGGTTGTGGTGATGGTGATGATGATGATGATGGTGGTGTAGTCTGGTTGTCTTGCGCTCTCTTCCATCTGGAAGCTCCGACAGGTCCTCCTGACTGTGAGCCGTGGAAAGAGCGTGTCCATGGGAATGGGAGTGTTGTGGGTGGCTCTTCTCTGCGCTATTCCGAGTACCGACCAGTGAGGGGTGACAAAGGGGTCTCCGCGAGCTCGCATCGCAATCCGCCGTCTCCGCTCCAGATGCCGCCGCCGCCGCGGAGCGCTGATGGTGTATCCGCCGGGCTCCGGGATGATCGCTCCTGGCCGGTGCGGAGGATCTCAGTAAGGAAGTCGTCGATTCGCTTTTGGGGAGCGTGAAACTCATCCTCAGCTTCGTAAAATGCCCTTGAAGATAAAGGCTGACCTTTGAGGTGTCAGCGGAACGTATGGTGTGCATCATCAGATGCCTGTGGGTGACACAACATAACATGCAATGTATGGACCAAAACATAGAAAGAATCTCTCTCATTGTCTAAGCTTCAGTGTATTTGGGATACTTCAGTATAAAGAGAAGTAGATACAAAAGTGTACTAAAGTGTAATTAATGTTGACCAATATACCCCCGTATGGACATAAAGACTTTCCTGGACATTTAGAAATTAAGCAAATTGAATATTATTCTGGTACATGAAAGCAAGCAAAGCATTTATTTATATTCAAAATTCTGAGCTAACAGGTAAAATATCATTAAATACTTTATAATGCTTTTTTAATGTAAAATATGTATTTAATTATGTTCTATGTAAACTTATGAGGTATAGCAGGTTTATCAAATAAAATATACACAAAATATAATGCATGTTTAATGAAAATGTGTATTTACTATTTAATTATATGTAAAATTCTGAGCTAACAGGTTTATCAGATAAAATATAAATAAAATAATAGTTTACAATGTATGTTATGAAAACACATTTAATACTTAATTATGTTCTATGTAAACTTTTGAGGTAGCAGGTTTATCAGATAAAGTATACATAAATTTGGTGTGTAATGAAAAACTTGAATTTAATATTTAGCCTAATTATGTCCTATACATGTGCAATTCTGAGCTAACAGGTTTATCAGATAAGATATAAATAGAATAATACTTTACAATGTATGTTTAATGAAAACATGTATTTAACATTTATGTACAATTTTGAGCCAACAGGTTTTATCAGATAAAATATACATAAAATGATAGTTTACAATGCATGTTTAATGAAAAACATGTATTTAATATTTCATTATGTCCACGTTTTTTATAAGAGTAACGATCTATAATAACAAATGTAAAAGAAATTTCTGATTTTATTTTTAACCCTCAAAATCTTCCACTAATGAGCAATCAATATTTTGTGACTACATGTCAACATGTACTCTTGCTAAGAAATCTCAAATAAAATAAAAATAAAACACAGCAAAATATAAAATCAGTTTATGCAATATATTATGTGCTATGTTTAAAAAGCTTGCAAGAACCAGAATAAGATTCATAGAGTAGGACTGTAACGACAGTTAGTATTAATCAGAAAAGTGTCTGACTAATATTTTTTCAGTGCTTAGTTCTTAAAATGTTCATTCACGCTTCCCCGGTCTTATGTGCTTGGTTACGTCATTGGCATAAATTACGAAACATATTTTCATTAACTCCAATAAAACCTCCCCATCCACATCCACATCTTGAATGTGTTCTGTGTCCCCAGGGTGATAAAGTTTTCAGAACGCATCATGTTGAGGAGTTTTCTTCTCTCGCCCACAGATTTTCACTTGATTAAACACAGCATCCTATTGCGCTGCATGTGCAGGACATCCCAGCCTCAGGCCACTCCATGGTCCATTTATTCCTTATGAACCAGAACTGAGACAACCTGCATAAAACATGACATTTAGACCCAAAATTCCACCTCTGCCTTGCTCATTCCAAGCCTTATTTTTAAAAGCCATCTTCAAAAGAGGTATGAAAACATACACAACATTAAGCCAAATGATAATGCTATAGTTCAATAGGGTCATAGTAATGTTAGGAGACAGAAATATTATAGTTGTCTTCTGAAATTGTGCAGTACATCATACATAAAAAAGAAAGAGTATACTAATATTTTATATAATAGCATAAACTACTAAAATGCTGACTGTGTTGTAAGGGAAAATCTTAGATTGTGATGATCCTTCAGACTAAAATCAACATATTTCTCAGTCAAAGTGCATCAATTCTGAAAACTGACTTCAGTTTTCTTTTGTTTAAATGTGTCTGATCATTTGGATGTATATCACATTTTTTTCAGCAAAGGGCCTTTAGTTCATAGGCCTTTAATAACGGGTTGATGCAAATTATAGGCCTATGATGTGGTAATATCTGCGCTTTGAATTTGCAAATATCTAAACAGATGGTTAAACTGCTCTAAATATTCATGAATGATGAATAAATGTTGCAGAAATAAATGTATTCTAATACAAAAAATTCATTTGATATTATTCAGCATACTTTTCTCCTGCCTTTCACACATCTTTTGTATTCAGCAATGCAGGTTCCTTGGGGAAAATGGTTGTAGAGTGTGTGTGTGTGTGTGTGTGTTGAGGCACAGACTGAGAGCTTGTCTGCTGTATAGTGCTCAGGGAATGTGCCCTGCCTTGTCCCTGTCTGCTTCAGAATGTCGCTCCACTATGTTGCCAACCTCCAACATCCATCACAGTTTTCTCTTTCAGACACTGCTATTGGTAAAATGTGCCATTTTGTGCTGATACAAGCCTTGTTCATCCAATTAAAAATCTTAACCTTCACCTTCAGAAGATGAGTGGAAACATTAATCCAGACTCGTTATTAGCTGCTGTACGCTCGCCCTGTCAAATCCACCGAGAAATGGCTGTCTAGCTCCCCCTTGCGTCAATGACGCTATATTGCAATAGGTAAGTTTCTGTGCTGGTTGGTATACTCGCTCAGAACGAGTTTATTTCGAAGTTCATTTAAAAAGTTATTTTAACTTAAATGAAGTGTTTTTTGAACGCCGTGTCACTTGAGACGCGAGCGCAACGGTCAAACACGTATAGCGCGTGCTTAAAAAAAAGTGGAAAAGCAGCGCAATGTGCGGTATGCAAAGTTTTCTTTTACATACATTTGAATGTATAGTGAACTGTGCTCAAATCTATTTACCCCGGGGCCAAATTGTTACAAAACCGAGCGCTTGGGAAAATACATTTTCAGTTTTTAGAACAGTATTTCATTGCTCACACTATTCATCAGAAAGATGTGACAGCGGTGTCTGTCAATGTAGGCCATGTAGATTCAAAGTCCATTAATATTTATATTAATATAAGAAAACTATTACGTGAGCCTTTATGAGGATATGTGTTGCTTGTGATCCTATTCTAATTATTTTCTGCAATTATTAAAGACTTGTGAACACTAACTGAATATTATTAGATCTGCAACCTCTGCAAAATGCCACCCAGAGAACAGATATGGACCGTAGGTGGATTACATCTGCCGTTTCATTCATCTACTATTTATCTCTCTCCCACCTGTGTTAGCAAAAGAGGTTAGTTATGTAAATCTACAGAGCTGCATCTGATAATGGCTGCCGTTTGCAGCACTACCCTTCTATCTGCCACCCCCATACAAAATCCTCCAAACATCCAGCATGTTGGGTTAATGTTTGTCAAAATAGCAGGTATGTTCCTGAGAAGAAGCACATTTTGTTGTCTCTTTTTCATAAACACCCACATGTAGTTTGCATTAATACAAAAGACAATGGTGTGCAATGCTATTTTTGAACTTGTTTAAAGCAAGCGTTGCCACAAATTACACAAATCCAGATATTAACCCTCATGTTGCGTTCCAGTCATTTTGACCCAGAGAAATGATATAACAACTTCCCCCCTATTTATTTTTTTTTTGGTACTTTTTAAGGATTTTCCCCCCACCTTGTTAGACTTGTGGCATTTACAGTCAATGACAAAATGACAAGCCTACAAAAAATTGCTTGTAAATCTCTTATGCTATATGATCACCAGATACTGGATTGATTTTTTTCAAACTGAGGTGCATAAGTTCAGATCAATGAGGCCTATGATCAATCAGTTCCTAAAAGAAATACAAAACCTGTGCTAATTGAAAGAAACAAGTTGACAAAAAAAAGTCTAAATCCCAGATTTGCTGGTAATAAAGCATAATGAGATATGTACAAGCAATTTTTAAAAGGTCGGTCATATTTGACCAGGAACACCAAATAAGGTAAAGGATTTTCAGCACGGCACAAGGGTTAAATTCATTCTTTATTAAATCTACAGAATTACTCATCCATTGCAAAGTGAGTCCATGGCACACAATTTGGAAACATGGAAGTAGGAACGTTGTCATAAAATTGATCTGCAACTCCAAAAGTCTCACAATGATATAAAATGTCACTTCTCACGAAACGGTCTCAAAACTGTCTGTCATCTTACAAAAGGAATGTACCAATATCGATGTAACAACCACGAAAGCTCTGCTTACAAGCAGTACGACAAAGCACAATAAGGTAGAACCTAGCACATATTAACAGCCAGAACGTTGTGTTTTCCAAAAACAATAAGGGTGTGTCCCTCTTTAAGTTTCACAGAGATACAAAGCGACTGATAACGCGTTTCGATTTGATTCGAAAATTCAGGGTAGGAAAGAGTAAAGTGGAAAGCAGGCTGATTTGATGTTCTTCCCCATCGAAGCACTCCGACCCTGACTTAGGTGTGGCGGCAAAATAACTTGCCACTAGTGCGTTTAATGGAGGTCATTTTACACAATAGCTGGTAGTGCTTCAGCTCACTTCGCATAACATCTCTGCCATATATCCACATTCCTTCACGGTAAACGTCAAATCCCCTGTCACTGCAGCATATGTCGTTTTACGACTGTTTAGCTTAGCTTCTGTAAGCCTGATCTCAGTAAAAATGTACAGACCAAACAATGTACTGTGCTTCCTATGCAATTCTACCTGGCTGTAGTGACCAGGCTTGGCAAAAAGTGCATTTCCATGTGCGGTTGACTGTCAATGCTTTAGGTGAAATTATACTATGACACTCACTGGGTATAAATGTGACCCTGCAGCTAAACTGTAGGAACAACATGAACGCAAGGGCTTCGTCTCAAGCACAGTTCACCAGCAGGTTTTTTGCTATGGTTAGATTTGAAGAGTTCTGTAAACACTGATAATGTACAATAGTGACGGTACACTGAAGTCTCTACTGAAGCAGTGCCAATAGGGAAAGTGAGAGTAAAGGTAGGTATACTAGAGGAAGAGACTCGTGTTCTCAACACTCTGTCTTTCCCTTTGCACTCATCTCATACTGTTAATACAATGGAAATCGTTGACCCTTTTCTCCTCGCGGCTCTCTTTCAGCGCCCAGGGGTGAAGATGTAGTCCAGTGCCTGTCTCTCGGCTGCGGCCACGTTTGGATGCCACAGGTCCACCATGAATACCACTCTCGGGCCATCTTCTGGAGAACCTGAGCACACAGATATGGAAATCATGATGGAAGTGGTAAATACTAACACTGGGTTCAGTAAGTGTGTGTATGCACAAATTTGTGCGTAAAATCTGCATACAAACATGTTCACAAACAATGATTCACCATTAACTTTTGACTAAAATGTATTCTAAATTCACGGAAATTAGAGTTGAACCCACACATACACAAAAAGCATATACTCTGCATGGTTTTATATTCGTATTAAGAATGTGTTTATGCATAGATAATTAATCTTTTGTATATTTCACTATATACTGTTATAGCTCAATCTGAGAGGTTTATTTGTATAACAACGCAGATATGTTACAGCTTGCTAATTAGAGGTTTTTATGAAAAGTGTTCACTGTATTTGAACTGGTTTTGAGGATGGCACACTTGGCATTGCTTGAGGATCTTGCTGCATGTCTCTCAGACGAGAATCGTATAGTCAAAAAAGACTGTAAAGGAAAGCCTGTCTGAAAAACCCTTATATCGAGATGGTTTGGGTGTGTTTTATGCAAATTTCTCATTTAGTATATTGAATGAATGAATGAGGCATCTATATAGAGCTTTCATTGTGTATTGCTGCACACCCAAAGTGCTTTACAATCATATGAGGTGATCTCTCCTCAACCACCACCAGTGTGCAGCATCCACCTGGATGATGCGACGGCAGCCACTGCGCTCACCACACACCGGCCACAGGTGGAGAGGAGAGAGAGTGATAAGAGCCAATTCAGTGATCGACAAGGGCCAGTGGAGGGAATTTGGCCAGGACACTGGGTTTACACCCCTACTCTTTACGAGAAGTGCCATGGGATTTTTAATGACCACAGAGAGTCAGGACCTCAGTTTAATGTATCATCCGAAAAACGGTGCTTTTTGACAGTATAGTGTCCCCGTCACTATACTGGGACGTTAGGACCCACACAAGCACCCCCACACAAACGCCTTTTCCAGCAGTAACCTAGTTTTCCCAGGAGGTCTCCCATCCAGGTACTGACCAGGCTCAACCCTGCTTAGCTTCAGTGGGCAAGCAGTCTTGGTGTGCAGGGTGATATGGCTGTGGCATATTCCAAATTCAGTAACATTAGAACGAGGTTAAGAAAAAAATGCATGTGCATAAGCGTGTGTTGTGAATTAGGCAAAAGTACAAAAAAAAATCCACAAAATTATCATCGAATAAAACCCAAGTGGTTGCCAGGGTGGTGCTATAAAGCTGCTGTTCGGAGTGGTTTATAGCAGGGATTGTTTTGGGTTGACTAATGTAGCTGTTTATGAATGCAAAAATGCATATTATGTAAACGCCTCTTAATTACACAGGGGCTCCTTACAACTGATTAATTGCAGATGCATTGGAGCTCCCATTCTCCAGCTTCATTAGTTTACTGTTTGTGTTTAACAGTTCTGTCTAATAACTGAAAGCTATATATTATAGCAAATGCTATAATATTTTTTCATATACTGTCGGCATTCAGCAAATATGCATTTTAAAGAAGTCTTTTAATATCTAATGAACATTAAAGGGTTAGTTCACCCAAAAATGAAAATTAGCCCATAAATTACTCACCCTCAAGTCATCCTAGGTTTGTATGACTTTTTTCTTTCAGACGAATCCAGTCGGAGTTATATTAAAAATTGTCTCGCTGAGTGCCATGAAACAGCTTGAAAGATCAAAGACAATTTTTTATATAACTCCGAATGGATTCGTCTGAAAGAAGAAAGTCATATACACCTAGGATGACTTGAGGGTGAGTATTTATGGGCTAATTTTCATTTTTGGGTGAACTAACCCTTTAATGGCAGGAATGTTGCAAACTGCGTCAGCTGTTAGACCTTCTAGTGTGTATGGCCTGTATAAAAATGCTAGTAGTCTGTGCGTAACAGTCCATCTGTGCGGAGTGGATGCAGACAGGTGTGTTCTGTTGTTACCAGATACTCACAAACAAGCAATTATAAATCCTTCATTTCAAACTATGCTTCACACTAGCTGGTTTTTATTTGGGAAAATATCCCAGTGTGCACAAATTTAGCAGTTTACTGAGTTTACTGATGGTTACGGTGTTTAATTACTTTTATATTTAATATTTAAATCTTTATATCTTAAATTAAATAGTGTGATATCATATATTGGCTTTATACAGGGTTTCTACAGACATGAACAAGTTAAATTTAAGACTTTTTAAGACCTTTTTAATACCACCTTATATGAAATTTAAGACCTAAACCTGCAATGGAAATACACATTTTATGTAATATTTAATGTGTTTAAATTAAAAAGAAAACAAAATATCATTGATGTAATAAATGATATTTATTACTACGATATACAGTGAACTTTTAATGTCAGCAGACAATATTCCATAAAAAATATCCCTGCAAAATAACTGCATCACTGAGATTTTTGGTGGAGTAAACAATTTATTCTGAAGCAATATTTTCAACAGTGTTCTATCAGCTTTTACATACTTAAATCTGCATATTTACCTTTACAAAGGCCTATTTTTAACCAAATTATTACAAAGCAAATGAAATCAGTATCAACACAATTCATCTTTGCAATCCCGACATAAGCTGCACCAGAAGTGGCATTTAGAAGTGTTTACACACTGTTTAATGCAGAACATGAATGCATTTAACCTGCAGTTACAAATGCATAAATAATTTGCTATATTAAACATAAAAAAATTGAATACTGATAATGAAAAGATTTAAAAAATGAAAAGATACTTAAAATGTGAAATTAAAACCGCCAGTAGGCGGCAGCAAGTCACTGTTAATAAGTGAGTCATTGCGACTGAACCAATCATTTAAACGGTTGATTCATTCAGGAACGATCAAGCACTGTCATGTTGCTCAAAGACGCAAAACAGTGCTGTGGCTGTGTTTGGACTCTTCCGTGTGAAATTAACTAAGAAGTGGTATAAATATACACATTTTCTGCCCCAATGTCTTGAATTTGTGATCATTCTGAATTTATTTTAATAGACTGAATCATGCAGTGAAAAAAGGCACTGTAAATGCACACGCGCACTTGACTTCACGTAATGCGTGCACTCTGTAGGTGTTTTGAATGTGTTTTTGCGTCGTGAGAATATTGAGCAAAATAGCTCACTTGTCATGGTGTTATTTAACTATATCATGTTATGAATAAACTAAACATTTTGAATTTTTACCTCAGTGTGTTTCTTCTGAGTTTATGTGTCTAACTTACTGCAATTCTCTCCGATGACGCCGTAACATACCGCGGGGAAGAAAAAAAATCTTCGGTCTGTCCAGTGATTGTAAACAGTCATTAGGTCCGTCAGACTTAAAGGGGTCACTGGATGCCCATTTCCCACAAGTTGATATGATTCTTTAGGGTCTTAATGAAAAGTCTGTAACATAGTTTGGTTAAAATTTCTCAACGGTAGTGTAAAAAACACCTTTTTTACCCTGTCAAAAACAGCTCTTTTCAGAGCAAGCCGTTTTGTAGCATTTTCCTTTAAATGTTAATGATGTAAGCGTTATATGTGCAGCAATATATATAACGATCTGTGTGGCTGTTTAATGTGTGTAAGCCATTTTCTCTCTGTGTGTGTGCAGGATTGAAGGTGCCCTCTGGTTGTGAGTTGGTAGTTGGTGGAGAGCCGCAGTGCTGGTCTGAGGGAAGCTGCCTGCTGTTCGATGACTCTTTTCTTCACACTGCGTTCCATGATGGTGAGAAACAGAAATAATGTGTAGAATAAATATAATAGATTGTAGTGCATAAGGCGTCTATTCCGTATTAAGGAGAAAACTAAGTTTGCAGTAGTTATTTAGTGGATTTTTGATGCACTTTCTTTCATTAATAGCAGTGTGGTTGATACAACAGGGTGTCCGCCGGTCCTTAAAAAGTCTTAAAATGTCTTAAATAACGTTTTCCTAATATAAGGCCTTAAAATATTTAAGACCCATCGAATCCGAATTTAAGACATTTTAAGGCCTTATATTAGGAAAACGTTATTTAAGACATTTTAAGACTTTTTAAGGACCGGCGGACACCCTGTTGTATCAACCACACTGCTATTAATGAAAGAAAGTGCATCAAAAATCCACTAAATAACTACTGCAAACTTAGTTTTCTCCTTAATACGGAATAGACGCCTTATGCACTACAATCTATTATATTTATTCTACACATTATTTCTGTTTCTCACCATCATGGAACGCAGTGTGAAGAAAAGAGTCATCGAACAGCAGGCAGCTTCCCTCAGACCAGCACTGCGGCTCTCCACCAACTACCAACTCACAACCAGAGGGCACCTTCAATCCTGCACACACACAGAGAGAAAATGGCTTACACACATTAAACAGCCACACAGATCGTTATATATATTGCTGCACATATAACGCTTACATTACCAGTCAAACATTTGTATGCGTTGACTGAATTTATGTTTCTCATGATCTTAAAAACCTTTGATGCAAATATAAACTGTGCCTACAAATGGAATTCACATTTACAAAACTAAAACATTCTTCAAAAAAATTTTTTAGCATCCAGGTATCCAGAATACATGTGAACTCCTTCAATACTGTTTAAAAAGCATCTCAGGATGCACCTCATGAAGTTGCTTGAGTGGGATGCGAATTTGAAAAGCTCAAATATAGGATGACAACGACTGATTTAAATACACTACCATTCAAAAATTTGGGTATGAAAAGATTTTTAAAATCTTTTATATGACTTAAAATACAGTAAAAACTTTTTTTTTGTCAGCCATTACTCCAGTCTTCAGTGTCACATGATTCTTCAGAAATCATTCTGATATGCTGAAGACTGCATGCCACCTGCCACCCATTCCCTCATCCGCTCTAAAGACCACTCCATTCCTGCATACGAACATACATACATACATACACACTCTATCCCAAACGCACACGCTCAAACGTACATGTAGATATGATTTAGAGATTCTTATTTGTTGGCTTGTGCATTGGAAGGCTTGATTTGGTGTTTAACTGAAGTGACACAGCCTTTGCCCGTCGTCAAGGAGCTTTTTGTGCAGTCTAATTTGATCACGTGCCGATCGCTTTGGTTAATGCAAGCGCGCATTTCATTTCCTTTTCAATGCATTTGGAAATGTTGACAGTGTGCTGCCGTCAGATAATTCAGCTGCTTCTTGCCTCCTGATCCAGACCAACAGGGACACAGTGCACCCGAGGGCACCTGGGAGAGAGAAAAAAGCAGATATAGAGACATTTTGTGATAAAGTGCAGCAGAATAACACTACGCCGACATTGCCGTCGAGGCAAACTGTATCACACCTGCCTTGATGGCCCGGTTTGACCACATGATCATTTCTATATACCACCCACACACATTTGGCCTCTTCTCCCCCTCCCCATGCTCATGCACAGACTGACGAGCAGCTTGATAGAGACCGCAGCACACATGGGTATGGCATTTGAAATTCAGTCTTTGCAACACCTCCGCACTGCACTTTTTAAAATCATGAGTCATGAGAGAATTCCAAGCATACTGCAATAAAGCATGCAGACAGTCAACACAAACCTGCAGCAGGGACAAATTTGACCTTAGAGCCTAATTGCCTGACATAAAGACAACAGGGAATTGTTGCATTACTGTTGCATTAGGATCCCTCAGATGGAATGCAACCTGAGGCTAGTAGAGATGAAAGACAAAAACAAACCTAAGGTTTAATGCAACATCTCACGGCGGCTGTCAACACAGACAGATTGAGAAAGACAGAGAGAGTGACAGCAGCGGAATGCGTACAAGAATACATCACAAAGAAAAACAAACCCCCGCCACCTAATGCAACATTTAAATTATTAGATTAAGCATGCAAAGACTGTAACGAGTCAATGCGCAAATTGACGCCCATTCAATTGCATATTTACCGAGAGCTTCGCGGCACTTCTTGTCTGTCAGATTCGCAGCGACTGTTCTTCCGCCCGGCGCTGCCACTTATTCTGCCTCTACACTTCCCTCTCAGACACCTCCCTGTCGCTGTTTTATTGCCGTTTCTAGTCCTGCCCTTATGTCCGTAAAGCGCTGTCAGGCGACGTCCATAATGCCAAAGGCAACTGGGCAGAAAACAACATGACAGACGTCCGACGTCTCATCATTGAAATCTGGGCGTTTATATAACGAAGACGCATAACTGATTGACTGACTGGCTACTGAAACCATAACACATGCTTCATTATAATATTAATATCGATACTGCTCATTTTTATCACATTAACACGAATAATAATAATGGTAATAACAAGAATAATTGATGTTGTTATTATAATTGTATATTAGCTATTAAAACAGTTGCGTGCAGGTTGTAAACCGCATAAGGAGGGTGTCATGAGCAGTTGGGGGGGGGGATGATTGGGATTCCGAATCATCCCAGTAAATCGAATCTTTATCCGTTCACCAAACAGATTCACTTAATGACAAATTCAGTGAGCCTTTCTGCATGTTATCGTTAATCAGTTGGCTATAAGTTTTGTGCTATGCGTCATCGAATCTTACACGCAAACGATTCCTTAAACACCGAGTCGTTCATTACTAAAACAATTCTATATCTTTCATCTTAAATTGCCTAGCCTTCTACAAGCGACTTTAGAAAGTGTTTAAGCATTCGAAATGGTTTCTCCAAAAACGACAAAAGCAATGATTTATCTTTCATTTTAACGTTATTAAATACAATTATGAATTAACGATATCATCAGTCATTTTCACACGTTCAGTAAGCTATTCTTTAGTATCCCTCTATCCTTTAGTATCCTTGTTGTGAATTCAGTTCTCAAAGGTGAAAAGGTTTTAATTCTTAGCTACTCAAAAACACTGATCAGCTGAAATTTGCAAACACTTCAGGCAATCAAATGCCTCAGGAATTTAAAGGCAGGAAAGCAGTCGTGTGCTTTAAATGGTCGATCAAAGCCGAAAAGTGCTTAGAATTGAGAGATTTGTTCATTTTAGAAGATTCATTTAAAACACCGAATCGTTTAAGCCACCTGTACTGCTGACCACGTAGCCATTCTCAGTCAAACGATATGAAAAAAGGTATTTAACCAAGTGCAACAAGAACTAATCATGAAAAATATGACGAAGAAAAGAACAAAGTAAATCCCACTTCTGCCACGTAGTTAAGATATGTGACAGCTTTACTCTAAAAGTGCATGTTATTTTATAATGAAAGCATTAGTAGTTGTTTACAAGTGACACCCCCCCCAACGGCATACAATTCCCATGGTGCATTGTACGCCAGACCGACAACTTCCTCTGACGTCACACTCGTGAGCGTTTCGCGCTAGAATCCCCACAAATGGAATCGAAACAATGCAACGCTTTGTCGTTTGTTTAGAAATTGCGACTTTGCATTGTTGCTATATTTCCAATGGTCTTCGTCGATTCGTTTTTGTTTTTATCTTTATTTGTTTATTTTTAATTCAGCTCAGTAGACTACAGGTACGCGGACATCTGCTTTGTTTGAACCTGCAAAGCTAGGAAACTGTCCTGTTCGAAATGCAGTTATGCAGGCATATTGATTAAACCTGTTACTTTTCCAGAAAACTACAGTGGCAGTGCAAAATACAAATGACAAAATACAAACTTGCCTTCAGGTGACACGGCGAGATGAACAGCTTCCTGATCGGCTGTCCGTGGGCGATCTTCAAAGATAATCTATCTAGATTTTATGAAGGACCTCCCCCTTTTCTCAGCACTCATATGACGAGTTTACCAACAAAACCAATTTAAAAATCAGATAATGTTTCTTTAAAAAAATTAGATGAAGGTTTAACTGAAGTTACACGTATCTATTTTTTTTTCTTTTCAGTTTTGATTTCTAACAGCTTCGAGGTTATAAGTAACATAAATTAGCCTCTTGTTGGAAGACCAAACATTCTGAGAGCTGAAATGAAATTAATTGAAATATATAGAACTTTTATAAGTATTTTTTCTAATGCATGCATTCCTAATTATCTTTAGACTTTATGTAACATAGATGAAATTTAACAATATGTGCACATAAATACAGCTATTAATATGTAATGAGTCCATATATTTTCTAATATGATGGCAATGATTCTTGCAAATCTCAGTCATCCTTGTGTTTCACAGTAGTACTGATTTCACTTTGGAACAACATAAAATGAAATGACCCTTACGAAAAAGAAGTTTATTCAAGTGTGCTATTAGTATACTTCTTTTAAACTAAAAGTAGGAAAGTATACTTTTAGTCTACTTTTTATGTACTTCTCAGAAATGGGCTTTATGTACTTCTCAGAAATATACTTAAAATGACATTTAAGTATACTTGACTTATACTAAATATATTTTAGCTATACTGGTGACAATATTTTTGTCTCGTACACTTGTACGCATAAAACCAATTATATTTTGGGCTTTACTGTTCCACGAGGCCAAGGGAGAGTCGTATTTGTAAATGGTAGGGAACATGACATTTTAAACATGCATACACACAAATGCATACAGACTTTTAACAGTCTAAATGTTTTTCTTTATTTTACACGAAAAAACTGAAGTACATTTACAGTTTAGAAAAATCAGGGCTACACACGTATAGTAAGCGTGTACTATGCTGATGACAATATTTACGTCACGTGCACTATATGCTTACATCAGCATAAACATAAAAAAACCAAAGTATACTTCGGGTTTTACTGGAAG